CGTGGCTGTTTCTACAGCCTCATTTTGCTATGGTGCGTGAGGTGGGTGCTGCGTGCGGAACGCGGAACCGTGCGGCACGAGCTCCGGCACGGTACAGTCCGTGCGCAGTCAACGAGCCAGTTCAGTCAACGAGCCACCCCAAACCCTGCTGCCACATGAACCCACCCAACTTCAACGCGTCATAACTCCACAACCATAGACCTAATTCAAGAAGCAATTAAATATATTAAATTGCGTAAGGCTAGAGATAAATTCTCATACTACCAAGTTGCAAAAGCATTTAGAGTTAATTAAACAACACTGTTGCAAAGGCACAAGGGTGCACAGGGCTCTAAGGACACACAGGCAGCCAAAGACTAACAAAACCTTAACCTACAACAAGAGGATAAGTTAATTAGATACATAGAAAGGTATATAAGGGATAGTGTACTACCTACACAAAGTATTTTAAAAAATTTCAGCAGCGTGGTTGCGCAGCAAGAGGTCTCTGAAAGCTGGATTACCTGGTTTCAACACCGCCATCCTGACAAGCTTATCACTAAATACAACACTAGTATAGATTATAGGCGTCACCTGGCTGACAACAAGTATAAATACAAGTTATACTTTAACTTGCTGCACTCTAAGATGCGAGAACATGGCATTGACAAGCGCAACACGTACAATATAGATAAGAAAGGCTTCTATGTCAGCATCACCCACCACACTAAAAGGATCTTCTCTAAGGCAGTTTATGAGTTAAAAGAGCGTACAGCAGCAATAAGAGATAGCAACAGAGAATAGGTAACGCTGCTGGCTTGCGTATGCGCTTCTAGAGATGCATTACCACCCGCTCTTATCTACTAGGGCACCTCTGGGGTTTAATTAAGCTAGGTTAACAATCTTTTAGCTAAATAATACTAAATTTTTGTATCCTACTTAGCTTTAGGATAGTTAAATAACGCCTTAGGACTTGCCTAGCTTTAACAGGTGTTTGAACGCTATACTGCAGCCAAAGCTTGCCAGCAATGGCGCCTTCTAATACTTGACAGCCACGCCAGCCACCTCACGCCAGATTTTTTGGAGTATTGTGAAGCTAAACGCATCATAGTTATAGTGTATCCTCCCTATTCAACCCACAGCTTGCAGCCGTTAGATGTTGTGCTCTTTGCGCCGCTTTTAAAGCACTACACTGAGGAGCTTACCCAACGCCTCCAGCGAACCCAAGGCCTCTTAAGGATCACCAAACGCGACTTCTATAGCAACTTTTGGCCAGCTTAGAGCTCTACAATGACTCACGATCTTATATTAAAGAGTTTCCAAGCTACAGGCGTATGGCTGATGGACGCAGACCCAGTACTTCAACGCTTCAACAATGGCCCACAACAACAAGATGACAAGCCAGGAATTAGGGAGCAAGGCAACGGCGATACCTAGCCTCAATTGCGCAAAATTTTTGATGCTGCAGTGGCTAACAAGGCCAAATTTGAAGCCAAACAGCTGTCCTAAGGCCTGCACTCGCTGCAGGTCAACAACAAGCTTCTACAACTCTAGAACGCGGAGCTACACGCTGAAATTAACCTCATTAAGAAGCGCCTGACCAAGTCTACAACACTAACTACACAAGAAGGCGACGATTAGCACGGCGGTGCTGTATTCTACAGTCCCAGGAAGCTTGCCAGCGCGCGCGCGCGCAAGGCCGCAGAACTGGACGAAGCCGCGGAGCTACAACTCAAAAAAACTCGCGATAGAGAGGCAAGAGCAGCAGAAGCAGCTCACAAAAAGCAGAATCAAGAAGCTGCGAAGGTGGCTCAACAACAAGCCAGAATTAAGCGTGATTGCAAGCAGAAACAGCGCGCTAAGGAACGCGCTGCAGAACGGGCGCTTAAAAAGCAACAACAACAAGCTGCAACCACTCAAAAAAAGCCACGATACAGCAAACAAGCGTAAGCGAAAAGCCTCACACAAAGCAGCAGAAAATCTAGCAAAGCATTGTTGTGGTGCGGCTGCATTAAGTCAGGTTAACGCTGGTCCGCCTGAGGCGTCTCCCCCACCCAAATTTAGCAGAAACATCTGCCAACTCAAGACGCCAGCAAGATTAAAGCAGTGCAAATAATCTAGAAGCTTCTTTATAGCAATACCTCAAAAAATCTCACAAAAATAGCTATTGTGTGTGGCTCAATAACCTCATCTTTTTGATCGTCCCATATTGGTGGGGTGGCTCGTTGACTGAACTGGCTCGTTGACTGCGCACGGACTGTCCATAAACAACAAGCAGAGAGCTCTTCCCAGGAGATCAGGCGGTCCACTCGTACAGACATAGCAACACAATAATGATGATAACCGCACATGCAACTGGTTATTTGTACTCGGGTTTGGCCGCTGACCTTATGTTACCTTCTTTGCGTCCCAAATTAAGTGCCTTCATACATGCTGCAATCCTCTTACGCTAATCTTTCATGTTGCGGCAAACGTAGCCGCTGTATATCGATGGAAAACTGCGCCGAGTTGCTTGCTAGCTAGGAGGCGACCGTATATACATGCCCTGAGACGTGCTAAGCTAGCCCAAGGTAGTCAACAAAGGTGACGATCGAGGCCTGTCGGACCGACTTGCACCGCAACATTTCATTTTTTTTGGTCTGCAATTGCAGCACAGGCACTCTGTTGCCTTTGTGCATCTGTTATCCTCCTTCTCCCAATACTTGTCCTTGATGCGCTCTGCACCCTGAATCAACGCTATAGTTTCTGTCGCAGGCCAAGCGCTGTCGTGAACCTGAACTCTATTACAAATCGTGCCGTGCGAGGGCCTACATATAAGCTGCGCTATGATGCCAGAACAATACAACATCCATCACACACACATTTCTTAATATCCCATACCTGCAGCACCACACCCAACCGTGCGACAGTTATGAGCCCGGTCAACCTTCCTTCTGCAGCATTACCAGTCCATATAAATACTATTAATTCCATTGACTGCTCGTCGCAAGTACGCTGCTGGTCACGACAAGTTGTTGCAGTCCCAGCAGAAATTGAGGGGTCGCGTCCGCAACCCCGCAACCCCGCACTTGTCAGAGAACTGACAGTTGTACAACCACAACCACCTTGACGAACAACAAGAACAGCAATATCGAGAACCACTACCAGACGTTCACGATGTCATCGTTGAGATATCACAATCTGCCAATGCTCAACGCTCGCAACGATTGGATCGACTGGTACAATTCCATTGAAGATCTTGCCAAGCGCAACGAGGTGTGGAAGTACTGCGATCCACTGGGCATCGAGAACCTCGTCTTCACCTCAACGAAACCATCAGACTCAGCAAGTAAGGACACTATCCAGAAGTTCCAAAGCTTGCAGAGCATCTTCGACTCTGAGAAGAAGAAGTACGACAAGGTATCTGATCGCATCGACTACACCGTCTGTCAAGAGTTCAAGCAACACTACCTTGGCAAGCACGACGTGCGAAGCAAGCTTGCCGCGCTCTCAGACAGCATTCAGCCGAACGCGAAAGACCAAAGGCAAGACATCCGAACTGAGTTTGAAAGGCTCAGAAAAGGACCAGGTAACACAAGCCTGGATAGGTGGCTTGGCCGATGGCCTGCTCTCGTAAACAGTGCCAAAAGGTACACGATCGAGAACCTCAGCGAACCGCAAATATGTGAAGCTTTCGTTGAAGCATGTCGAGATATCAATCCGCCATTCTACAACTACATGAAGTCGAAGGATGCACAAACCGAGAGCCAAGCGTCGGTGATCAACCAAACTGAAACGGCGCTGAGAAGCATCTCCGATGCACTAATCACGGCACTGAACACGATCAGTCCAGAACATGCGAGCCACGGCCTCATCACGGTAGGCGATTCGAGTGATGCTGACTCTGACGATGCGGTCGACGAAGCCGATGCTCCAGCGGTGCAGAGAGCACGGAACACGATTGACAGGACCCTCAGATCCTTTCGTAGGCTGAAGCCAACACTCTCTGACAACAGGATCACGATAAGCTTCTGTATCAAGCAGTACCGCAGCATGGCACCTCCGAGCGAGAAGATCGCCAGGGGTCGCGCAGCTCACGCTACGCTTCAGGGCAGAAAGCACGGTCGTGATCCGAAGACGTCAGACGAGGAGGATGGGCAGCCACGGCGGAAGCGAGAGGCGATTGGATCGAGTTCAGTCTCTGCAACCCAGCCGAGCTGCCTTCGAGACTGTGTTTGCGGACAAGCACACAAGTTCGCCGACTGTTGGTACCTTAACCCCGCAAAAGCTCCAGCGAGATGGAGACCACAAGTTCACATTCAATCAAAAGTGATCACAGCAATCACAGGAAGTCATCGCCAGCGCGAAAAGATCGAAAGAAGCTTTTCTCGCAGCAAGATCGCACTGCCTGACTTCTGGCCTGGCAACAATGCAGATGAACAACCCGAGAAAGCGGGAAGCCAAGCCAGCTCTGTCACGATAACAAGTAATCGCCAGACTAGACCCAGGGCTTCTTTCGCTACTTCCAGATACGCACTAAGCACTACGCGAAGTCAAGAGCACGACAGTTGTTTTCGTCTTGACAACTGCGCAGATACACACGTCTGCAACGACAGATCGCGCTTCAATCAATACAAGCCAATACAAGATGAAATCATCAGCTTTGGCAATACTAATACGCACATCGAAGGTGTTGGAAATGTCGGCATTAATGTCACAACACCTACAGGTCAGGGTCTCGTTCAACTGGAAAATGTGGCATATGTACCTGGCTTTCACTGGAACCTTCTAAGCACACATGTGCTTGAGAAACAGGGCATGTTTTTCAACACACGAACATGCTGGGTGGAGTTCTCAGACGGCTCAAGGGCCTTTGAAGTCACAAAGCAAGGCGCTTTCCAAGTCGTTAAGCCACACAGTGCACAGCAACTTTCCAACGAGAACACAACCATCAAAAACACAGGGCATGCCTTTGCTACAAAGAAGACGTCCCGAGATGTAAAGAATGCCTCAGCAACAATGGACGTGTGGCATGCACGGTTGGGACACATCCGTAAAGAAGCTCTTGAGCATGTGTCCAAAACAACAAAAGGTGTAACGCTAAGTACGTCAAACTTCGAGCGGAACGCAGAGCTCTGCGAGACATGCGAACTTGCACAAGCACACAAACAAGTATCAAGGATTCCATTGTGGAAAGGGAACTACCCTTTTGAAAAGGTTCATATGGACCTCATCGACATGGAAGAAGCATTCAACGCTGACTCATGGGTGGTTCACTTTTACTGTGACTACTCTGCGTACCACATATCTTTCAATCTCCCAAACAAGACCCAAGATGAGCTTGTGTCTGTGACCAAGGAATTCCTAGCTATCACCAACACTAACTGGGGATTTACCACACGATACATCCGATCAGATGGCGAGAAGGGCTTAGGTACCAAGTGGAAGGAGACAATAGCCGCAAAGGGCATCACCTTTACACCGTCTCCCCCAGACACCCCAGATCAGAACGGTCTTGCCGAACGTTCTGGGGGGGTGATCATGACTACTGCGCGAAAACTTCGCATACAGAGTAGATTACCACACAAGCTCTGGCCACACATAGTTGCACACGCCACACGCCTTCTGAATCGCATTCCAGTGCAGCGCAAAGACTGGAAAACACCGTTCGAGATGGTGCACGGTCGCCAGCCTGACCTTTCGAACTTGAAAATCATTGGATCGCGAGCTTACGTTCTTATCAAGAACTGGAGAGACCGTCCAGCTAGAGCGAAACTACGAGAGAAAGCGCTCACTGGATGGCTCGTTGGAACTGAAGCAACCAATATTCACAAGGTCTGGATACCACAGTCCAACCGTGTGATCACATCACGGGACGTACGCATGGACGAAAACGTCATGTACGACTCACAACAGTCTATGGATCTTCCGCAACGTGAGCAAGCACTTTCTACCACATTAAATGACGTCGATGTAGAGGAGTCAGACAACGACATGCTTCTCATCGGCGGCGATACCGCAGAACAGGCAGAAGAGCCAGTCGATCCACAGGGGCACGAAGCGCCGCCTGCAGGTTCAAGGAGAGACGAAGCATCTCTACAGGATATGACCCTACAGCCCAAGACTAGAAGCACACCTATGCGATGGCCGTATCCAACTCCAGTGTCTGTTGAATCAGTTCCACGTCAAACAAGCGCTACACAAGAAACACCTGGACACAGAAGGGACGTCGCTACTGACGCATCTGTTCTTCAAAACCTACGCACCAGTACCGGACGGAGCATTCGACTATCACAAAGAGGTCAAGACGCCGTCGGTACCACCCAAACTCAAGCTACACAGCGACATAACGAGAAGAAAGCACGACGCCAAGCTCATGCTCTACGACTTGAGCGGGCTAAACTCGGTCAGCAAGTAGCCCACGCATTTGCAGCAGCACAGTCTATACGCATGCACCGGAGAGACCTACTACCGCCACCTGACTTCTGGCATCAGCTGAAGCGACATCCTGAGGGCAAAGAGTTCCGGCGTGCTGCAGACGCTGAACTTACATCACTCGAAGAGAAGAAGACCTTCGAGCTTGTGGACTACCCAGAAGGCAAGCAAGTGCTGCCGCTGAAGTGGGTGTTCACGTACAAAGTTGACGACGCCGGCTACCTCGTCCGTCACAAAGCACGGATCTGCGTCAGAGGTGATCTTCAACACCACATATCGGACGACATATATGCAGCAACAGGCGCATATCGCAGCTTTCGCATCCTAATGGCTCTGGTCTGCGCATTCGGGCTTCTCTGTCACCAAATTGACTTCAAGAACGCCTTCACCAATGCAGACATGGACGAAGAGGTATACACCGCCTGTCCGCCAGGGTATCACCAGTCAGGCAAAGTCTGGAAACTGCGAAAAGCGCTGTATGGATTGCGCAAGTCACCAAAACTATGGTTCAACGAGCTCGTATCATTTCTCAAGGGTCTGGGATTTGATCATTGCCCAGATGAGCCATGCATACTCATCAACAAGCAAACAGGACTCATCCTGTTTCTCTACGTAGACGACATGCTCGTCATCGCACAGCCAGAATGTATTCATTTCATTCAAGAATTCAAGCTAAGATTGAACAACAGGTATGGGATTAAGGATTTGAGCGAAGCAATCTCCTTCCTCAACATCAGCATCCTCCGAAAAACCAGAGACAAGAAGCTCTGGATCAGCCAACACGGGTATATTGAGAAGATCTGTACCAAGTTCGGCATTGACGACACTGGAAGAAGGGCTACAACGCCTCTCCTCTCGTCTTATCGTCCTCAACAATACGAGGGGCAAGCAACGCTTCATCAGATCACAGAGATGCAAGAAAAGGTAGGCTCGATCCTGTATGCAGCAGTGGTATCGCGACCCGATGTGTCTTTTGCAGCCAGCCAGTTAAGTCAGTTCACGTTGAACCCTTCACCGGAGCACTTGCGTTACGCGAACCGAGTTCTCGCATATCTCCAGGCCACGAAGTACTATGCCATCGAGTTCTTGGGCTCAGTGGAAACTACCACTGAAGTAGAGACACGCGATGAAGAGGTACTTCAGCTGTCAAGCGACGCATCGTTCGCGGATGATCCAGAGACTCGAAGATCCACGCAAGGCTACCTCATGAAGCTGTTCAACGGGCCGATCATGTGGCAGTCGTCTAAGCAGAAGACTGTAACCACGTCAACGACTGAAGCTGAGCTGCTCTCGCTGTCACACACAGCGAAAGAGACAATAGGTCTGTACCGGCTGTTCAAGCAGATACAGTTCGATCCCGAGCACCAACCTCGCATACTCTGTGACAACCAGCAAACGACAGGCCTGATCCAAAAAGGCAGACCACAAGCGTCATCAAAGCTGAAGCACGTTGACATCCATAGCTTATGGCTAAGGCAGGTCTACAGAGACGGCAAAGTCACAGTTCAATGGGTTCCAACGACTGAAATGCCTTCGGACGGCTTCACCAAACCACTCTCAGCAGAAAAGCACTCTCAGTTCGTACGTCATTTAGGCCTGGTTGATATCTCATCGCAGCTTGATCCAGCGCATCGACACAAAGAGGCAAACTCTGAACACAATCAGACCTCATCTGAGACTGAATGAGCTCTGAGGGGGTGTGTCGCAGGCCAAGCGCTGTCGTGAACCTGAACTCTATTACAAATCGTGCCGTGCGAGGGCCTACATATAAGCTGCGCTATGATGCCAGAACAATACAACATCCATCACACACACATTTCTTAATATCCCATACCTGCAGCACCACACCCAACCGTGCGACAGTT